AAGTGTTGTTCAGTTAGAGGCAAAGTGCTGGTCTAATTCAGCCCCTATTTTTACTGTACTGTGGTATTACAAAGTTTAACTTGTTTGCTTCTAAATAGATGTGCATATTTGGTTCAGTACATGCAGATGAATGCAGCCTTTTTATTGACTCTCTCTGTGTGTGTGTGTGTCTGTGTGTGTGTGTGTGTGTGTGTGAGAGAGAGAGAGAGAGAGAGAGAGAGAGAGAGAGAGAGAGAGAATGATGAATGGGCCTGTGTGCTGAGATGGAAACATATTTTGTTGGCTTGTCTATTTAAACCAGAATTAAAAGGCATTTTAAAATTAAAAGTATTAGGAAACACTATGCTAATTATCTATAGAGAATTCTACTTCAAAGCCCTCTCACATGTAGCTCTAGCTAGACAGAGAAATCATTAACATTGTTGCTGTTTTAAAAAGTGTAGACTATCTGCCACAGTTAATATGTTCATTAAAAAATAGCTGGAGTGCTATCAGTTTTTAAATATGTTTTGATCTTGCCTAGTTTGAAAGAATATTGATAGCATTAGCACCAGAGAAAATACCCATTTTAATTACAAACTGCATTGCAGGTGTGTCATTTAAAAGGATTTCTCCAATGAAAGTAAACATTTGTGCATACCTCACCTTCTGAAAATGAATCACATACAGAATCATAGAATCATCATAGGGTTGGGAGGGTCCTTGGAGGTCTTCTAGTCCAACCCCCTGCCCAAGGCAGGAGATCTCATACCATCCTGGACTTCATACTATCCCAGGCGGATGGCTATCCAGTCTTTTAAAAGTCTTTGGCTTTTTATGAAAAAACAGCCTGGAGATAATTGAGATAATCATTCCCCTATGACTGTTTCCCTAATCCAAATGCCCCTACTCTAATCTGGCCTCCCCCCCCACACATGCACACACAGGATTCCAGATGTATTTCCATGTTCCTAGAACCTTACAGCAGCAAAGCAGTTGTAAGGAAAAGAGAGCAATCCATGCCCTGGTTTGCCTTTCATTGCTTCTCTATTCAAAATCATGCCCTTCTGAGGAGACCTGTTTGCATGTTCACTTCTTACATACTGAAGATATTTCCAAATGTAATCAGTGAATTGAGATTTTGGCCTCTTTGTTTAAAGAAGAAAAAAAGATCCTAACATGCACCTAAAATAGCATTTTGGATTCAAGTCTGGTGTTAAGTCCCCCTTCTGCCCCATCTTCTCCCATTTTCTTTCTGTCCCCGGGCTAAAAGTAAAGCTGGGTATGCCGGTGTGAGATTTGGCTACTAAAATATCACATACCCCTACATTGCTCCATCCTGCTTCTTAAAATTCCTTGTGTAGTTTCAGGTCTCTCTGAGCCTCGTTTATGAAGACAAATAGCAGTTCCAACAAGAGTAAACAAGATCTATGTATATGTTAACTCAGTATTCAACAACTGATTCAGTAGAACTACCAACTGGATTTTGGCCATGAGGTTTATGAGATTCGCTTCACTGAACCAGTGTGTCAAAACAGTGGAATATTGATGCATCCCTTTAAGATAGAACCGAGAGAAAGAAAGAACAGATGAGCAGGTATACCCAAGAATCTGCATACGTATCTATCAATGACAATGCCATAAGCTGCACTGCATCTGTCTGGAGTAATATTATTAGAGCTGAGAGAGCCCCATCATAGTATCCCTGTCCTTGTCCCAACAGAGATCTAGAAACATGTCTGAATGTGTGTTGACCAAAATTGTCTATCTTAGTCTTAAAAGATGCTGGAAACTGTGTCTGAAATTAATTGCTGCACTTGCAAATATAAAGCATTTGTACAAAATGGCTTATAGGTGGCTAAGAGCACAAGCCTCGTGGAAGTGAATTAAACCAGAGCCACTGCAATGCTTGGGTTTCTTAAAGCCATGGTGATATGGGATTATAAAATCTGTTAAATCACTGTTGACAATGGGATTCTTTCTCCCTAGGCCACTTAGATTTAGGGGAAATTTTTACACTTTTGTGACTTGCATGTTTATACCAGGAGATTAAAAATCTGTCCCTGGGCTTAAAGTAAAGCTGGGTATGCTGGTGTGAGATTTGGCTACTAAAATCCTCTTTATTTTAAGCCAAAGGAGAATGAAAGCAAGTGATTAGACACTCATATTTGCATTCAGTTTAAGTCAAGAAGACAAGAGGGGGATCTGCTTCCTCTAAAACTGAGTTGTGATTTGCAAAAGGATCTAGACTGAGATCATTAGAGCCCCAAACCAACTTTAATTACACTCCTGGGTAACATTGCTGGAAGAGGTATACAACTACTGTCCTTTATCATTTAAGTACCCATAGACTCATTAAGAAATTAAAACTGCGGTGTTGCTTTCATACAAAAATTTTCCCTTTGGGAATGCTTTAAGTTGTCTGCTGTCTGCATGATGGTACGGATCATAAAAGTTCAGCGAATTACCTCAATAAGATGACAGCCTCGTCCATTTACACAGGAAAGCCAATGCTCTGTTTTCCTTGGGGGCACTTATTGAAATTCTGTGCATAGCTCATTCCTCTAGCCATTTAACAATGTGCCTCATGTTTGCCCTGATTTTTAAAAAACGCCTTAGCAGAAGAGATAACAGGGAGAATGATATAATTCCAGTAAAGACACCCTAGAGCTTGCAGTAATAGGGTGGTTCATCTGATGTGTATTGCTGTTGGAAAATAAACCATGTACTGTATGTATGTTATCTGGGGACAGTAAAGTGGCTTTCAAGGATTACACTCTATATAGTAGGAAAACTAATGAACAGAAGGAAAAGCATAAACAAGAACTGCCTCTTAACTCTTTCTAGTTTTCATACATTTGTACAGTATTTTAGCCCCGTTCCAGTACAAAAGACTCTTATCTTGCTGCATAGGTCGTCCAGGCTGCCACAAAATAGGGATACATAATGATATTCAGGACTGAAAATTCAGAAGAACCAATGTTATTCAACAGAAGTCTCACAATGGGCTGTGCCTCACCACAAGCATTCTCCCTTAAAAAGCAGAAACAGTATTTCATGACAAGCAAATGGCATTGCTAACAGTCCAGTTGTTGCTCAAGCAGCCTAGTTCTACCTTCTTCCCTCTTCTACACGAATGAAATAGATGCCCAATATGTAAATGCCTACCCAGGGCAGCGAATGTAGGAATGAACGATCTCCTGAATGGAGATAATTAAGTGTAAGATGAGGAAGAGTCAGGTTACTGAATAGACTTGTATAGCAGATATAGAGGCTGGTGGAAGCACAACACAGCTCTAGAAGTTCTCTGCTTGTCCCTATGTGAATGCATCATACGTACATGTAATATTATGTTACTGGGGAAAATGTTTACACTGAATCTTTATGAGACTAGCATGAACATGAAAATCATCTAGTCCAGTTCCTATCCTAAATCAGGATTCTCCGTGGCCCATCCTGCATACTTTCATGTTATGTATATCATGACTTTCCATACATTGTAACTTCCAGCATTCATGTTGCAGCATGACACAAGCAAAGAATATGGATGAACTTGACCTACCATGCTCAGGTCTGATTCCTATTCATGTATCATCCTTCTGGAAAAGATACATAGTGTATGTGCATAAAAATGCAGGAGCCCTGAAGTAAAAGGCCCAGAATTTGATATGTGGAAAAATTGCCCAAGGTAGTATGACAATTAAATCCACTGAAATAGACAGACAGAAAGCCAATGTGAAATTTTAATATATTTTCACAAAAATACTGCTTATCTTTTAATATCAGCCAGATTCTTTAATTTTTGCAGTTAGGCATAATGCCACTTTATCATCTTTGTGAGGTTACTTAGAGAATAAACATACTTCAAGCAAATGAGAAACATTTCAGCCAGCAAATTCTGTGTTATTTCCATGTCTATGTATACCGTATGAGTGTCGTGGCAGCTGAATTTCTATTCATGAATAGTTTGTTGTTCAATATACCTCACGACTCGGATATCATCATCTAGACATCTTTCAATTGTGCAAGGAAATAGAAAGCAAACAACATCACTGCAAATGTCACTCTACCGAGAGCTAATAACATTTCTTCTGAAGACTTGTGCTTGCCTAGCACATCTGGTCAGGAGCACTGGATAGCTTTGTATTAAAAATGTCTCTTTGAGTGATATTGCATTATCAATTTTTTTACCAAAATAACCACATCCTGATTGGCAGTTCTGTTGAAAGTCTCCACAGACAAAAGTATCTTTGCAACTGTTAGTGTGCCTATCATTGTTTTTCTTTTTCTTCTATTTCACTTTAATTTCCATTTTTTTCAAAAACGCTACATAATAAATAATTAGTATCCAAACTTACACATAAGATGCAACTAATAGTATCATACTACCCTGTTTCCCTGAAAATAAGACCTAACCTGAAAATAAGCCTTAGTATGATTTTTCAGAATGCTCGTGATATAAGCCCTACCCCAAAATTAAGCCCCAGTTAAGTGAAACCCCGCCTCCACCATTGTGCAGCAAGCAGAAGATAACATGACTGTAAAATAAAACATCCCCTGAAAATATGCCCTAATGCATTTTTGGAGCAAAAATTAATATAAGACCCTGCCTTATTTTGGTGGATACACGGTATAATGTACAATATTTTCCCTGCAGAGAAATAGAGTAGAGGTAGGAAAACCCAAATCTTAAAAAATCCATATCATTTTTAAAAGGTAAATAACCACCCTTCAATCCTGGAGCAAGTCTTACTCCATTTATTACACGTAGAAGACTTGTATTTTATTGGCCTTGTAGTCTGATTATTCCTTCCATTTCTGTTCTCTTGCATTTTGTCTGAGACCTAAACAAAAATTCATCAGAAGACATTTTCCGCAGGAGCTATCTGATGTTTATTTTTTCTTTCTAATACTGCAGCAATGGCAGGACCTGGGAAGGAGGTATGAAAGCCTGCTTTGTCAAAGAGGTTTGACCTTTCCAGAATACATTTGATGATTCAATCTACCTCTTTTCCTTTCAGGTTACCAATCTGTCTTACCTAATCAACAACAAGGGTATCAAGGACTCATGGGAATGCAGCAGCCTCCCCAAAGTCAGAACTTAATGAATAATCAACAGGGAAATCAGGTGCAGGGCATGATGGTCCAATATCCAGCCATGTCTTCTTATCAGGTAAGAGGCAACTGCATGGAATGTCTTCATTTTGAGTATATCATTGCAGAATGAAAGGACTTCACCCTGTCACAGAAGTCTAGATGGAATAGCTGCGCTCATAGCAATTGCCTCTACCCAGTTTGTGCCCAACACCACATATCACACCGTTCAGTAAGGTTTCCCAACTCCCTGCCTAATATTTCATGGAGCTGAAGATACCTGGGAGTCTGTTTCAGGCAGCCCAGCTGTATATGCTGAAATTTTGACCCAGGCCTATGGCTGCCGTTTTTAAGTTTATTTAACAGTTGTGGCATCCCAAAAGAAATCTGAGAATTACAGCTTAGTGATAGAGAATTTCTGTCCCTCTCAAAGACTTGTAGCTCAGGTGCATATGTTTATGAGAGGTACTTCATATACTGCTGATGAGAGATGGGCATGAAATGAACCACAAACCAAAAACTCCAATGAACCAGACTGGTTTGTGGTTCATTTCATGACCCAGTCCAGGGATCCCATTCTGCCAAAGTAAAATAAAATGCTGAACTTTTTTCCCTTTGGCATTTTGTTTGCTTTGGCAAAGGGGGATGCCCGCCCACCCCCTTCCCATTGGTGCCATCGCCTCCACCTACCTGCTTCTGCCACCACCCATCATGGGTGCCATCCTCAGAGGCAGAGGGCCTGGCTTCCCTGCCATGAGCTGGGCACTGCCTCTGAGCTGGATGGTGGGTGGCAGCCTGGCCACTGCCTTTGAGAATGTACCCACTACCCAGCTGTAAGGTGGGCGCATGCTCAGAGGCAGCACCTGGCTTCCCTACCAGGAGCCCACCACTACCTCTGAGCATGTGGCAGAAGCAGGTAGGACACACACACCCAGCACAAAACTGGAAAAACAAATGGTGAACTGGTTCACTTTTCTGATGTTCTTCATAGTCCGTGGTTAGCCATGAACTGTGAACCATCATGAACCACCGGTTTTCCAGTTCTTGCACATCTCTACTACTGACTGATAGTTCCACAGAGTTATATTAGAAAGATGACTCAGATAGCTTCTAGTCCATTACAACTTGAGGCTTGGCTAGTAAATTAAACAAAACTTACAGCTTTTCACAGTTCTGCATTCCATGAGGACTAGGAGAGTATTGCAGAATGGCATCTATGTTCCCTGTGATACTACTGCCCTGGTCTTCATGGCCGTTTCCTTAAAATTATGCATGGAAGAAGTGTGTCTCCCTTGGAACTAAACTAATCCAACAGCTCTTGCAAGTGCAGGGAAGAGAACTGAGAACAGATGCTGCTACAGTTTGTTGCAGTAGTTCTTATTCTTTCTCTGCCCATTTATGTACAAAAAAGGACAGCATGTCCTGATTTTTGTCTTTGTCTCTGCATGACAGCCCTTTTCCTAACAACAAAAAAGTCCCTAGAAACTATTCTGGTAAGTTCCTCAGTCAGTTCTCTTAACCTGGATATGTGAAAGTTTGTTTTTTAAAAAGTGGTGCATTCTAATGCCCAGTTTTCAAGCAACAATTTGGAGTCTAATCCAGCTACTGTATATATTTTTTGTGTGGTTTTTCTATTTGGTGGTATTAAAGAAGACAGTAAAGGCAAAATTCACATCGAAATATCCAAAAAGTGAAAGTAAAAACAAGCTATTAAAAATGCCAGATATAAAAATGTAGTTAAGCATAACTATCCTGTATAAAATAGTAACAGTGTTTCTAAATAGCTTTGCATGTGCCACTAGACTAGAGAGGAAAGCTTAATTTAGGTAGCAATTATTTATACTTCAACAAAGCCAACTTTTCTGTGTAATAAAATATTTGCTCTTCTTAGAACTTTGATTTAGAGCCCAGGGAAGCCAATTATAGTTTGAAAGCATGTACAAAAGAGTTTGTTCTTTGACTGGTGCATTTAATACCAAAATTTGAGTGCCACTTATTTGGTTCTCTTATCTCTTTTTAGAACTATTCCATGCTATTCCAGTCTACATTTTGACTGGGACTTACAAAGTTTCATTTCATCAGATAAAGCTTCCCCACCACCACCACTTTTGCCGTATATGTGATAAAGAATCTCCACAGCTTCCTTTTTTTAATTGTATAATGAAGATTTTTGGAATTAAATGGGTTTTGCTGTTGTACTTGTAATGTCAATCTACACAGGAAAAAGAAGGGCAAAAAGCATCTAGCAGTGGGACTTCAGGCATCCTCCATTTATGATCTCTGATGATATTTAGCATTTAAATGTCAGATGTTAGACACTGATTTCACTCTCTGGCTTATGCATGTCTTGACAACCCTTCTTGAGTTCAAAGAACTGAGTTATTTTAAAAAGTAATTTCAGCTCTGCATTTGAAAACTGTACTAAAACTCAGATATATGCCATTCTGCCTTTACTCCCATGCTTGAGGCATTCAAGAGAAAATTAGACAGCCATTTGTCAGATATACTTTGATTTGGATTCCTGTAGTGAACAGAGGATTAGACTCAATGGCCTTTTAGGTCCCTTTCAACTCTATTATTCTGTTGCTCTATGTATTCTTTGGTGTGCAGTAGGATGAAAATTGTGAAACAATCGGAACTATAAACTGTCTGTGAAGACAGAACAATTACCAATGCTAGAGGTGGGAATCTAGTTTGGGGTGTCTGACTGGATGACATCAGGATGGGGTGGACATACCTCTGGCATCACTGGCTTCTTCCAGCTAGAGCTCTAGCCTAGCTTCTTTCCACCTGAAAGGAAACTGCTGGCTAGCTGGTCTTGGGAGAAGGAGACTTTCAACGGGCAGGACTTGCCCCACAAACAGGAGGCTCTCCTCCCCTGATCTCCATGATTCTTTCTCATCCAGCTGTGCAGTGATCAGTGTTGTACCAATTTAAGTTAGAAAAGCTGTCTTCATTCACCAGTTCATGGAAGTGCCAATAGAGTGATATCTTGCTACTAAAGAACTAAGCAAGCACAGTATACTAACATTTTGCTGTACAGTAATTGTATAAAATAGCTTTTCTTGTCTTCACATTGGCTGTCAGCCAATGCAAAGAAAAATCTATCCATATTTTTTAAAAGTCAGCTGATCTCTTAAATTCAGCAATTCCTGGCTTCTGCCAATAGCGGTTTAAGTGCACTCTTGCCTGCAGATGGGAGACAAATTCACACCCTTGATTCTCAATAAGTCAGTATGTATTCCCAAATAAATAGGGAATGTTTAGGTAAAGAACTGGACAAGACATGAAGAGACTGGATGCCAAATACTTTGGTCAAATGCATAGAAATGAAAGAATGCAAGAGAGAGAAAGTTAGTCAGAAATTTTAGAGAGAGTTTGAATCTTTGTACTGTAGGTTTCATACTTTAATTTGCTTCTTGCACATTGTCTTCTAGGTGCCAATGACCCAGGGTTCTCAAGGACTGCCACAACAGTCATATCAACAGCCAATCATGCTACCTAATCAATCAGGTCAACCAACAATTACAGCCACTGGAATGCCCGTTTACTGTAATGTCATACCTCCTTCTCCACAGAACAATTTCCGGTTGATTGCACCACACTGTCCCTCCAATAATGTCCCAGTTATTTCTACCAACTGCAGGACAAACTGTGCAAGTATTAGCAATGCTGGATGGCAGGTAAAGTACTGAAGCTGTGAAATTGTAATGCAGATATATACAGGTAGCTGTGTTTCTTTCCTTTTTTAAAGACATCTATCTCATAGCCTTTGAATCAAAAGAGGAACACAACAAGAATAATTGATTGAGGTGCATAGAGACAGTGCAGCTGGAAATATGTAAACAATAACAAAAACACATAATTCATTATTTGCTGGTTAATGGTGCATATTTTTGTCATGTCTGCTAGGTATGCTTTTAAAGCTTAGCTAGTGACATGAAATCATTGAGGTAAGATTTTTTCCTACCACTGAACACCACTGTGTAGATTATAGTATCCCTAATTCAGATTAGTTTTGTATTTTGTGTTGCGTTTGTGAATCAAAAACTATTTAAAAATATAATAAAATCATATTGTACCAAAGTTGTAATGGACATTTTAAAAAAATATGCTGAATGGAAGAAATAATTTATATACACAATAAGAGTTTTTTATGGATATCTACTGTATTGTAGTGTTACATCACAATAAACTTACTTGACCTCATGAAGAAAGGTCAGCTTTCTACTTTCTACTTTCTGTATAGTTTCCTCTTCTTTATTTCAGGTCTCTGCATTTGGTTCTATTGCAATACTTTCTTGCAAAAATCAGAAAAACAACTTTTCTCATACAATCACCTTAATGGGGGATTCAGAGAATCTCATCATATTTTGGGATAAATGCTCAAGAGGCTTCCATTACTATTTTCCACATTAATTTCAAAAGGTATACTCCGGTGGTTCCTCAAGAGGCATGCCTCTATCTTAAAACTGGGAAAACCTCACACAAGATCAAAAAAATTCTAAGATCAGTTTTGGAGAAAATGAGCCAAATCCAATGGTTAGAGACAACCTATGATACCCTGGGTCAAGTCCAGCCCTCATGAGATCCATGAACTCTGATCCTCTGGTATTCTCCATATGCCAATGCCACTGGTCTTAGCACAGTGCCATTTGTTTATTTTCCTGCTTTTGTTTTCCACATTTTAAAATGTTGCATTATTTCTCCTAAGTTCTACATGCTCATAATAAGAGTTTTAAGCTAAAATACATCATTTTTTGTCCCACCCTTTTGTCTTGTACATGTTTGACACTGAAATTGACCCTGATAATTACTCTGAAATTGAATTTGGCCTTTAAGCTAAAAGAAGTCAGACATCCTTCTCCACAAACATGTTATCCTGAAATGCATTGTTGCAAAGCAGCATTGTATCCCTCAGTTCTTGTGAAGCTTCTTTCAGGTCCAGAAGCCAGATTTGTGACCTTGTTCTAAGATGTCTAGTCTAATCATATAGAATGGCCAGCATTCTACATGATTAGGATAGACATCCTAGAATAATGCCTCAAATTTTCTACAACAGTGGTTCTCAGGCTTTCATATATCATTTCCCACCAATCATTTGATCAAAGAACCTGGCTCTCAATATGATAGAAATATAAAATCTACCTTTCCAAAGAATTTCTACACTCACAGACATTGTTATTTTTATAAGTTATGGTTGTTATTGTTACCATTTTCAGTAAGCTTTCTGGACATCACAATACTGTTGGTATCAATAATTAAGAAAAAAAGTTACCTCCACCTAAACTGCATCTACACCTCTCTGCTGGAAGATATATGACTGGTGCAGAAAAACAACAACTCTGCAACCTAAATGGATGAATCGGCTTAGAGCATCCTTGTGAAGTAGAAACTTAGAAAACACTGAACTATGTGGTAGATCCTAATCACACTGTAAATTATGCTTGATGCTACAGCTGGGCAGGCAGCAGGATTGCCATGTTGGAAGCATCCCATTCCCTGAGGTTCACTAAGGCCAGGATGTGGATCCATGAAATGTCATGGGGCAGGTCCTTGTATCACAGAGACAAGGACAATCAGCAGTTGAGAAGGAGACCAAGGTAATTTTTGAGACAGCTGATTATGGAAATAGCCATGAAAGGATCCATGTAATTCTCAGGTAGCTACACTATGCAACCCAGGTCCCGCATAATTTTTTTCTTCCCGTGGCCAGCGAAAATGTGGTCAGCAGTTGAGGAAGGTGCTACTGTTGCCAGCAGGATGCTCATCCCGTCTAATCTACAGCACACATGAAATGTGGAGTGTTTTTCCAAGCTATATACTGTGGCTGCAGTTGTGAAAGGTTCACCAGCAGAATCTGAGGCATTTTTTTCAGGCCATGTGTCACTACAAGCTTTGTGCAATTAAAAAGCTTAGAAATTGCAATGATGGTACTTCATTCTTCACCCTGTTCCAGTTGGCATGATGAGCTCTAGAGAAGTTCATCCTCTCTCTCCCATCCTGTCCTCTTATCCTTGCCTTTTTGATACATCAGTGCTGTTGGAAAAACCCACACATAGAAACAGCTTCATGTTGAGCCAGTTGGGAATGGGAGATGGGTGTTCATGGTTGAACCTAAGACACATCATGAAAATTAAAAATCTCCAGTGCTGCACATACTGCTGTTCATATCTTGAAATGGAGATATAGAGGAGCATGCCAGTTCCCATAAACTCTGGCAGCTCCCAGACACTTGGCAATCTGAGTGTATGGGGAGTGGGAAACTGCCCAGGGCCATAGCAACCCAATCTGAAAAATGGCCTTCAGCCCACTGAAGTGGTCCACCCTGGCCTAAGAGATCGTGATTAACCAGGAGCTCGGCGGGGGAGCAAAGTTACAAATGTTGTATCTGGATAAAATCAATTCCTGCTTAGTCATGAAACACCCATAAACTGGCCTTGGGTGAGCTGTTAATTTATAACTTGCATTCTTCACTGGGTTGCAGCTAAGACACCAAGTGAAACTCCTTGGAAGGACAGTACACACATGTGATAAATAGAACAATAATGCTGTGGTTCCTGGCTCTTTGGATTCAAAATCTGAAATTTTAAAAATTTGGACTTTCTGGATATCCAGAACGTTGCTACAGTTAATGTGAATACTATATATTCATTATTTTTCCCTTTTGAAACCATACTACACACAGGCAAACATTTTTAAATGATTTCCCTCTGCCCTTGGACACCTTCCCAGTGATTGTGCCAGACAAAATAAATGCATACCAACAGCCAGCAGTGCCTGGGTCTTATGAAATGACTGTAATGGGCATACTGATTGAACCCTGAACAGTGGGAATGCCAGCAGCATATGGGAAGCAGACAACGTATTACAGTGGGAAGGGAGCAAATACCCTGGGCAACACTGGCAGGCAGCCTGGAGCAGCCTGTGGTGAGTGGAAACTGAGCCAATAGCATGGGACACAGCACTGTTCAGCGAGTGAGCACAGTCTTGGAGCAGTAATTGACAGAATGGAAGAGGCAGAAGGAGGGAGTAGCATACTGAAGCATACCTAGTGCTGTGAGCAGGGTGTGCCATTCTTTCTTACTTAAAGGGGACTTCAGGGAAGTTCAGCAAGTATAAGTTCACCTTAAGAAAAACAAGTTTATCTACAGATCCGGGCTCTGCTCTTTTATTGGGCGCACTAGGTGGTGGGCAAGACACAAATCCCACTGTCACCTTGGCCAGACCTCCCCAGACTCATTCTGAACCCATTAAGACAAGGGATTGTTCTCTTTTGGTTTGCAGGGCTCCTGCATGTATGCCTCTCCCTCTGCCTCTGCCGTCTCCTTCCTCTGGGTACTATTTCTGGAGGGTAAGTTCCTGTCATGCTTTTCAAGACATTGTTCCAGGAAACGTGTCCTGTTGTTACAAGGGCGAGGGACTTGGACTCTAGAATACAACTGCTGGTACTGATGGAAACTTTGTTGGTATTACCCCTCTTTGTTGGTATTACCTGTTGTTTAATTTGGGGATCCAAGAGGATTGCTAGAACACACTCCTTCTTCCACAAGGAAGCAAACCTATAGTGAAGCAAGTCCTTGAGCTTGCTGGCTACCCAGGGCCACCACTTTAGGCTGGAAAAAATGCTGTTCTCCCTCTATGGAATCTCCCATCCACCTAGACTGTCCCCTCATTACACCTCCCATCATGCCAACTAAGCCATGGAACATTGGGATCACCTGGTTAAGAATGGCTATCTCTCCACTTAGGACATGTATTGTACTCTAAAAGCTTTGGAGGACATAAACAACTTTGGCAGCTATGCAAGCTCACACTGTACTGCTGCCTGCTGCCCTTTCATAGTGTCAGTGGTGAACAAGGCAGCTGGTTGACATATTTTGTTTGTGATGCTTATAGTAGCAGCTGCAGACTGTCTTTTTCCTTTCCCACTCCTTTCACTATAAGTTGCTGTAATGGGCTCAGGCAGCATTCTTCAGGTGCCTACTTCTACCACGCCCATGTTTCATACTGCCTGGAGACTACCTAAATAACACTATCTGACTCTGCTACAGCAGAATATGAACACTTCCAATGAAAATCACACAGAGACACACAAATACAAAATGTACTAACTTAATATATCTATCTATATATAACAAAATCTCATTCCTCGGTCTGATATACCATAAAGTGGCCAAACCTAATAAGATATTCACCTGTTGAATTATAATGTAATAATCTATTAATCTATTAATTGCTAACCATATAGGTCTACAATATACAAAGAGATGTATATTGGGGGTTCAGAAAAGACAGAGAAAACTGCTGCAGTGCAGGCTTGCATCAGAGCATGTCCGAAGAATTTATAAGCAGCTTATAAATTCAACTGCTGCTGCAATGCAGGCTTGCATCAGAGCATGTCCAAAGAATTTATAAGCAGCTATGACCACCTTTCAACTGGACTGAACCAATGTGAAAAAAGACCTTCTGGTGTCTTTGTCTGCTTCTAGATTTCATTGATGCAGATAGACAACATTTTCAGTTTTTGCTCTCACCCACATCCCCCTTGGGTAATCTACTGCAACTCCAGTCAGGAGACACTGTCTCTGTTCCCAGTACCCTTGGTGCTAGAGTGTCTTTAAATTCATTTCTCAAGAAATCACTCCAGGATGTCTGAGAAATAGGTTTCATGTTCATTTCCTTGAGGAAGCAGAAACCAAGCTTCTAATTTATAGAAGTAAATAGGACTGCAAGTATTAGGGATTATCAAATTATTGATATTTAGAACTGTTAAATTCAGATTCAGATTGGTGAATTCTGAATATTTCCAAATCTGAACACACACACCTATTTTATTAATTATTTTTTGCAATATTTAATATTAAAATTGTAATTTGCTGAACAATCTGCTGGGTGTGAGCCTTTTATAATGGGTCAAGCAGGAAAATGTGGCTTTTAAATAGATAAATTGGGATAGCAGAAGTCAGAAAGAAAACTTCTGGGATGGAGGGAGAGTAGCATTAGAAAGAACAGTGCTGCTTCAAAAAGGATGTGAGGAGTGTGTACGTTATAAATTGTGCAAAGGCATAAGCCAAATGATTATGGGAATAGCAAACTTCTCTGAGATTTCTACTGTGGACACAAAAAATGAAAGGCAGGAATTCCCTAGGATCTTTTCACTTTTTAGTTAAGTATTTGCTGAAATGCTTTTGGGTGAGGTAGAAGGGGGTTCACTTTTGTAGATGCATGCACTGT